TCCATTACTTGACAATAATGTTTCTTATCTTGATACAAATGTTTAGTTGTTTTTTTTAATTCCTACTAATTACGGAAATTCTGAAGCTAAAGTTGTTTTTTGTTATATCCAGAAATTTTTGAAAGAATAAAACATAAAAAGGTGTCTTTGGTTTTTCCTAAACATGTTTATGTGTATTATTACAATTAGCTATAAATTGTTTGAGTTTATGTGTGTTAAAAGGGGCCACTTTATTAATTTCAGTTGGCTTGACATACATTAATAAGGACATTATTTTAAATAACTTTTTTCTACTATAAGGGGCTTTCATTTTCAGTAATCGTACACTTTCTATCGGTTATTCACTAATAATGGCAATGACCCGCTCGGCTCCGCTGCGTATCCAAAAAACGCAAAAGCGTTTGACGCAAAAGCGACACCTTGTGTCGAGAAACAAGTGTATCTGTACCTGTATTTCGTCTCAAACTATACACGTATCACCGCCCGACCTTAACTTTCGAGATACATATTCGTACAAAATTGTGAGGAACTCAGCCGTTTTTTTATTGATCAAACTCACCCCTTATGGTATGAAAGGGTTTCCGCCCAAGCCCCTGCACTTCCACCCCCTAAAATTGATCTCAAACTCTAACCAAAATTCGTTTGAAATGGGTGCAGAAATTCATTATGAAGTACGACTTGAGTTAGATTCGAGTATCTTAATTTTCGTCGAAGTCCTAAAGACATCGATAGATTAAGATTATACAGCTATTTAGCTATTTTAACAGAATTTTCGTTAGAGTTTGGATTAGGTTCATCGGGTAGGGAACTCTGCCCTGAGTTTTTGCACCCACAAATAATCTTATCGTATTTGATTTTAGATATCATTGTTAAATGACTCTATACGTCGAAATATACTGAAACCTTAAAATGTATAGGGAAAACTAAAAGTTATTCAGAATGATGACTTTGACAACATATTTGAAACTCATTGATATCGATAACCTCTTTTCTGCTTAATTATCAAATCAAATTACAGATAAATTATCTGAGTACTTGGGGTAATTAGTAAACAACAATAGAAAACGTACCTGTCGTCTACCAGTGAAGAAACTGCTGTGTGGGATTGGTACAGCTATTTTCCATTAATTTTTGTGTCGTGAGCCCGTAGAGTGAAATACTTGTAATTGTTAGTAATAATGTTCTTTTATTGAACGTGACACAGTCCGCGATGTTTTGTAACGATTTCACCTTCCACGTTCACAGTTGCCACGTTACTAGTCGGTAGACTTCTGCGTGGGTTTGTCAGTAAAAATAGCTATAGACCGCTCAACGAGACGAGTGAGTAAATGTAAAACAAATGCCTATGTGATATTCACGTTTCGATACTACCAGCGACTGTAGCTATTATTGACTGGTCAATACCGAGTTCAGTTAGGTTGTCCACCCACGGAGCGTCGGGATGCGTTGCGTCATCATCGGTGCGTATGCGCAGCATATTAAAGGGACGAGACGTGTAGGGATGAGTAAACTGCGGAAGTTTATGCACTGTAGTATACGATATGCAAACTGTATGTAAAATATATACGAAGTATATGCAGCATAGATTTAGTAAATATGCACTTGCGTAGATACTAAAAAATTCGTAAGATTGTATTTAATCAGTGTATTTAATACTGTATAAAATGTGTAGTACATAAAAATGTATTTAATACATATGTATATAATACAACACTTCCGTATCTGCGCGTCCTCGTTAGTGATGGAATCAATACTGATATTATTGATGATATTCAATCAATTCGATAGCAAACTATTTAAAATAACAGGTATCGATATTTGTCGACATTTTAGGTATTTAATATCACTTGGCGATACCGAGACTTCTTAAAATAATACTAAATTAATGTTGTATTGAATCGAAGTTTCTTTGATACTTTCTGAAAGTATCAATGCTCGTTTGATACTTCACGAATTGTCGTTTGCCAGAAAACATTTATTTATAATGGCAACTTCCGTTCTTGCAGAAGTATCAGTCAGATATCGATATTTCCGTACATATTAATCACTCAATTGTTACACACGCACGCATGCACGCACAATTGCGATCATTTCCAAGCTTATTTGCAAAGGAATGTTGTATGCATTTTTCAATTTCCGATTTTTTTTGTCTTACCCTTCTACATATCATGATATTTGGTGAGAAAATAGTGTGTGCAAAATTTCAGCATGATCAGATGATGATTTTATATCAGTACCGGATAAAATTGCATTCTATTATTTTAGACTACTTTTTTGTATTAACTCAGGAAAGTTCGTCCCTAAATATTATTGATAAGTGATCAGTGTTTAATGATAATGCAGCGAAAGTGAACGTTGGAATAGCCTGCCCGGAGATATCCTTCTGTTCGTCACCGTTGGATACGGATCAGCTATGCAGTTTATTATACATTGTACGAGGTCAATACACTATCCTCCTGCACACATTTTCGCGAGCATGAAGTAGATTTACAGTTTTATAATAGATTTAGAGTTTCTTATTGATAATATTCTTCATATATATTTCTCTAACAAACAAATCCTTTATGTCCTTTAACGCGATTATTTATTATTTATTATTAAATTAGCTTTGCGAATCGTTCGTTGAATTCCGTTCGGACACGGAATTCACTGTAAATCTTGTTTACAAATTTCATATGGTACACATGAGGTGTCATGCACACCAGAAAATTAAACGGCTGTCACAGTTAAATTACTTATTATTTCGGGTTCGAAAAATTAGTAAATATTCTTCAGATATTCTGAAATAAGGATGAATAGCGTTTATCTTAAAATTATCACTGTCACGTAGTAACAAAAGTTAGGAAGTTCACGCTTCATGACTTGTTCATTGATTCGAACGCAGCACAGAGCCCCCTTCTTCTGTCTCATTCCACGGTTGAAATACGTGGCACTCGATCGATCGACCATTTTATAATTCGCGCGTTCGCCTTGCATTGATCATTGTTTTTCGTTAATAATTCATAAACAAAGCTGCGGATTGAATTTTCGCTAAGGAAAAAGTTACTTCAAATGACCTCAGCTACCCCTCATTTTCGGCTGTTAAAATAATTGTGGAACATCCTGTTTAACTAAGGATCACTCTAATATGCATGTATGTAATATGCAGAATATGCAACTTCTATGCAAAATATGCAAAAAAATATATTTTTTATATTCTCTAATGATGAAATATATATTTCAATTCCAGTTTTATTTGTTTAGTTCATTTTTATTAAGTATGTATTTGTATAAACTTCCGCAGTTTAATGATAAGCGATGTTGCATCGATTCTTAGATAATTGATGCTTCATTTTGTAAAATCGATGTTTTGTTAGTTCGATTTTAGGATTAGTTGACATTACTAGCGCATACTTCTCAACTACTTTCAAGATAATATTTCATGAGCAACAAAAAACAGTAGCAGATTTCAGTTCTGTCAGTGGTTGGAAAATAGTTTTATTTAGAAACTACATATTTCTATTCTTCAGTCAATAGCGAGAATTTGTTGTCGTTGTTTGCTGTTCATGAAACATTAGCTTATGCTTTTGTGTACATACAGTTGTTACGAGCCGAGGGCCAGGCAGTTTGGGTGGCCGGAGGTTGCATGCAATTGGAATTTTTGGATGAGGTGCGTAGACCAGCCGATGTTTATTTCGACACGGGTGGCTACCTTCAAAGGGGTTAGGATAAGGTGTTTGGAGAAATTGGTGTTAGGGTGCCTCGTAACTTTGTTAAAAAAAATAAAGATACACCTCGAGCGGTTGAGGTATACCTTGGTGGGTTTTTACCTATTACTGGTTCGAAGCAGGAGATGGTAATGATTGAAGTAGAAACCAAAGAGAACTGGTAGAAACTAATTTATTGCGCGTTGAGTTTAACAAGTGTGAGTGTGTGTTCGCGGACTCTAAACGCGCTCTCAGTTTTTCACACTGAACTGGCGGGGGCTTCTGATTCTAGGTTGTTATCTCGTAGATTTGGTCGAAAGAGAATTAAAATATTGGTTATTTTTAATTTTAATGTTGTTAAAATAATTTTAACTCAATCTCGCTAACGTTTGCGTGTCGACGAATGTCACGAAACTAGCCCGATTCCCGGTCGCGTTTGAGCCCTTTATATACTGAGATTTTGGTGGAAAAATGGTAGTGCGGGTGTTGCTACGTGATCCGATTCCAGAACGCCTGTATTTCTTTGCTGTCTTTTAATTTGAGCTGAATGAACCGTCAGAGACGTAGGCGTGTTTTAATTTGTCCTGATGTTTCGTAATAAGGTGCCCAGTCGCGACCGTTTTTAAAATTACGTTGTTTAAATCTGATGTTTTGTCCGTACGTTCGGTTAGTCGCCTAACGTACATGCGCGACCGAACTATTGTACGCTCGTTTCGCGCTTCCTACGGCAAATTAANTGTCCGTACGTTCGGTTAGTCGCCTAACGTACATGCGCGACCGAACTATTGTACGCTCGATTCGCGCTTCCTACGGCAAATTAATGACGTGGAAGGGTCTCTAGTAGTCTTAGAGAACTTTATTTTTTGTGTTGTACTCTTTGCGAGCGCTGGTGGAAGAATGCTCTTCCAACGCTGGAAAGTCGTGGAAGAGCACCCGTGGATGGAGGTAGATTGTTTATTATTGGTCAAGGCACGAATTACCCCTTGGAGGGGGGTGTCTGCCTTGACCCTTGTTGGGGTCTGAGAGGGTTTCCCCAATGGTGGGACCTTTTTATGGCCCTTGTCTCTGGACGCAACATGCCGCCCCCCTTGAACGACTGTGTTCAAAGATGATTGCGCAAGCTTAGTCTCCTACATCATAGTTGTACAGTCCTGCTTCCATCCACCCACGGGTATTGTAAATTGTACACGGGGTTAGGTTCGCTTGAATCGACAGCTAGTTGTTACTCCAAACGTCCTAAACTATGTGTGTGTAAGATAAAAACAATAGTAGATGACGCAATAAATAATGACGCGTATCTTTTACATCTGGTAACCGCAATCGCTCTTAATACTAGTATAATTGATTTAAATATTATTATCTAGTATTTACAAGTCGAAATTCTGATTTTTGCTATATACATATTTATAATCTTAAAAGGAAAGGAGGAGGAGGCAGAAAAACGTTTGTTTTATGGCGCTTCGATGGGTAGAGGGCATAGCTTTTTAACGCATCTTTTGTAGGTCCCGTTAGGTGTTTTGATCGTTGCTACGCGAACGATCCCATCCTTTCCAGGGTGTGTTTCTAATACGCGGCCTAAGGGCCAAC